TGTCAGTTTCACTTCTACAGATTTCCTTTTAGGTGCTCTGTTAGTTCTTACACATCAAGGAGAACATACGTTATTTGTCCTTTGGGGACTGGTTTATTTAAGTATATGTTTTCCGGATTTAGCCATTTTGTTGTAAATGACCGGATTTCATTTCCCTTGGGTAAATTCCCAGGAGTGGGATGGCTGGGTCATATCGTAGGTTTCTATTCTTAGTTCTAAGGTATCTCCATACTGTGTTCCATAGTGGCTGTGCCAGCTTACATTCCTACCAACAGTGGATTAGGCTGGCTTTTTCCCCACATCCTCACCAGCATTTTTGTTTGTTGATTTCTGTAAGAAATCAATTCTGACCAGGGTGAGGTGAAACCTCATTGTGATTTTGATTTGCATTTCCCTGACTGCTAGTGATCCTGAGCATTTTTTCATGTGTTGTTGGCCATATGCTTTCTTCCTTTCTTCTTTTGAAAAATGTCTGTTTAATTCTTTTGCCTGTCTCTTCACTGGGTTGGTTGTTTTACTGTTGTTGAGTTTTTTTGATATCTTTATATATTCTGGTTATTAATCCTTTTTCAGTTGCATAGTTTGCAAATAATTTCTCCCATTCTGTCAGTTGCCTTTCCGTTTTCTATCAGTGGCTTTCTATTTTCCTGAGTGATTCCTTTGCAGTACAGAAGCTTCTCAGTTTGATGTAGTCCCATGTGTTAATTTTGGCTTTGATTCCCTATGCCTTTGGGGTCTCTTCCAAGAACTCTACCTGTGCCAGTATCTTGCTTTGTTTCCTTAATGTTCTCTAATAATTTGAGGTATTGGGTCATAGAATTAGGTCTTTGATCCATTTTGAGTAGATTTTTCTGTATGGTATAAAGTAGAGGTCTTGCTTCATACTTCTTCATGTGGAAATCCAGTTTTCCCAGCTCTGTTTACTGAAGAGACTGTTTGCTTCAGGGATTGGTTTTAGATGCTTGGTCAAATATAAGTTGGTTATAGATGCTTGGATTGATTTCAGGCATTTCTATTCTGTTCCATTGGTCTACCCATCTGTTTTTGTACCGGTTACCAGGCTGTTTTGATTATAACTGCCCTGTAGTATGTCTTGAAACCTGGTATTATAATGCCTTTGGCTTTGTTTTTGTTGTATAAGATTGCTTTAGCTATTCGAGGTCTCCTGTGTTTCCATATGAATTTTCAGCATCATTTTTTCTATATCTGAGAATAATGTCTTTGGTAATTTGATTGATATTGCATTGAATCTGTGAATCGCTTTTGGAAGACTGGACATTTTGATGATACTGATTCTTCCTATCCATGGACATGGAAGTTTTTTTCATTTTTTTGTATCTTCTTCTATTCTTTCTTTAGTGTCTTATAATTCTCATCATAGTGATCTTTGGCATCCTTGGTTAAACTTATTTCAAGATATTTGATTTTTTTTTTTTTTGTAGCTATTGTGAATGGGATTGATCTTAGAAGTTCATTGTCAGCCTTGGTATGGTTTGTGTATACTGTTGATTTTTACGTATTGATTTTATATCCTGCTACTTTACCAAACTCTTCTATGAATTCCAGTAGTCTCTTGGTTGAGTGTTTTGGATTCCCTTTGTGTAGAATCATGTCATCTGCAAATTGACTTCCTCCTTCCCAATTTGTATTCTTTGATTTCTTTTTCTTGCCTAATGGTTCTGCCTGAAACTTCTTGGACTATATTGAATAGCACTGATGAGAGTGGGCATCCTTGTCTGGTTCCAGATCTCAGTGGGAGTGCTACCAACTTTCCCCCATTCACTAGGATGCTGTCCGTGGGTTTGTCATAAATTCTCTTGATTGTGGTGAGGAAGGTTCCTTCTGTACCCAGTTTGGTTAGAGTTTTCATCGTGAAAAGATACAGTTTATCAAATGCTTCATCTGCATCTATTGAGATAATCATATAATTTTTGTTAATTAATTTGTTAATATGATGTATCACATTAATTGATTTGCCAGTGTTGAACCATCTCTGCATACCAGGAATAAATCCCTCTTTTTTGGGCAAATGATCTTTCTGATGTGTTGTTGGATTTGATTAGCTATAATTTTGTTGAGGATTTATGTTCATTGAGGAAATTGGTCTATAGTTTTCTTTGTTAGATCTTTTTCAGGTTTAGGAAGTAAGGTGATGCTGGTTTCACAGACAAAATCTAGAATAATTCTGTTCCTTTCATTTGTTTTGAATAACTTGAGAAGTATTGGATTAGTTCTTTTTTAAATGTCTGGTAGAGTTTAGCAATGAAGCCCTCTGTTCCTGGGCTTTTCTTTGTTGCTGGTCTTTATTACTGATTCAGTTACCTCTTGGTTATTGGTCTGTTGAGGTTTTCTGTATCTTCATGTTTCAATTTAATAGTTTTTATGTGTCCAGGAATCTATCTGTTTATTCTAGCTTTCCCAGTTTGTTGGCTTACAGCTGTTTGTAGTAATTTCTGATGATTTTTTTTATTTCTGTGGTGTCTTCTTAGATTTCCTTTTTATCTCCAATTTTATTAATTTGGGTCTTATCTCTCTCTCTCTCTTTTTTTATTAGTTGGGCCAATGGAACACACGTTTATTTTCTCATTTCAAGGGAGTCAGTAGCTACAGGTGGCTTCTATGTCTTACAGTCTCTCTCCTGAGGCTGCAGTTAAGGTGCTGACCAGGACTTTAACTGTAGGCTTGACTGGATCAGCATCTGCTTCTCAGTTCACATGTATATTTTATATTTTTGTCTCATGAAATATGTCCTTCTTTCTCTGGGTACTTTAGTTTCTCTATTGCTGGTTTTGAGCCATTTAATTATGGTGTGAATTTGGAGGGGTTTTCTTCATTGAGCTTCTTCGAAGAATTTGAGTTTATAATTTCCATTAGATTGGAAATATTTTGCCATTGTTTCCTCAAATCTTTCTGGACTCTAATTCCTATGATTTGTTTCAAGTCTGACAAGTCATTTATATTCTTTCCCATTTTATTACAACAATTTTCTGTTATTTCTCATTTTTAAAAATTGCTTTATAATTTATTTTGGATATTTTCTATTGTTTATTCAAGTCTATTTTTCCTGTAATCTATGTTATGTTTTTAGCCCCTAGTGTTGTAGTTTTTAATCCTTAGAAGTTTATTTTGCTGTTTTAAAAAAATAACTTTTTGAACCTAAGGAATATAGTTATTATAATAATACTTTTAAAAATGTTTTTATGATTGATTGTTCTTTTTCCTCTCTTTGGCTAATATTCTGCGTCTTTGCAGTTTTTATCTTTCATCGCATACCAGACATTGTGCAGTTTATTCTGTTGAGTGGTAGACATTTTTGTATTTTTCCAAATCTTATTTAGATTTGTTCTGGGCCCCAGTTAAATCCCTTGGAAACAGGTTTTTGGGTTTTGGTTGTAAGATCTGAACAATGGTCACTTAGCATAATTATTCCCTACTGCTTAAGTGGGGAATAATATGCTTTCTAATGCCCTGAGAATATGAGGCTTTTAATCTGGATGGTGGGAACAGGTACTGTTCTTCACTCTGTGTAAGCACTGGGCATTGTTCTCTTTAATTCCATTGGATGATTGATTCTTTACCCAGCTTTAAATGATTTCATTATCTTCATGTACTAATTGGTATTCTACTGGAATACTCCAAGGAATCTGTGTAGCTCTCTTCTCATGTGTTTTGTCCTGTGAATTCTAGCCACCTTGGTCTTGCTGTCGCCCCAGCTGCATTCCCTCAAATCGGGAATTCTCTGAGGTCTTTGTGGGCTCTCTTCTTAATGCCCTATCTCAGAAGCCACCAAGGGCTCACCTTGTTGGTTTCTCATTTGTCAGGAAATCACTGTTCTACACTGTTTGATAATCTAATATCCTTTAAACCTGGTGTCTTGTCATTTTCACTGGTAATTTAAGACAGGAAGGTTAATCCTGTCACTCTGTTTTAGTGTGGCTGGAAATAAAGTCCAGTGATACCAAGTCCAGTGCAGGCTTGATTATAGTTTAGAAGAGCATTTGAACTTGACTCTAGGTGCTTTAGATTTTAGGGGAATGTTGCACAGTGTCACACAAAATGAGTCAGATACCACCATACCCATATTGATCATCTGCTATAAAGTATCTTCATACCTAATCTGAATAAAATTAGTTTACTTTATAATACTGCTGTATTTAAACCTGCAGGAATTTCTGTCCTTTTTCCAGATTTTGTGTAAACATATTTCAAGATTTTCATCTTGTGGCTAAAGTAATATTTTTGTCTACTCTTAATAAGGTACTCAAACACTTTTTAATTCTTTTTATCTTATTATATAAAAAGACACTTTGCTTAAGATTCATCTTACAAAATCTGTACTTTAAGTATTAAGTCCCTTTTTATACATAGTTCTGAAAATATAGCCTGTCTCTCTTTGCTGTTTCGGCTATTTGAAAATCAGATGCAGGGAAGATAAAGTGTTCAAACTATGGTTTCTTCCAGAGTTTAAAAGGGGTGTGTGTTTCTGTGGTATATAAAAGCCTTTGTCACCTATGTATATGTTGTACCCTGTGACATACGGTTTTGAAACCTTGAAATAAATTTCAAGAAAACCTATAATTTTGAAGTCTTTATATAATGAATTTCATACTCCTCTTCTGGGACCCTCTTAACAACTGGCCTCTATATGTATGTTTATTTTCTGTGAATAGATGTGGGTTAACTAACAGAGTCTCAAAAAATACAAAGAAAACACTCATGTTAATGAGTTCCTGCTCTTTTGGAGGGAAATGATAAATATAAAGACATTTGTTGCATTGTTTCTTCTGGAATTTATTAATTTACTCACAGTAGTATATCTGCATGAACCTTCTTTATGTGTTAAAATCTTGTAAGAGTACAAAATATGTCATTTTTATAGATAGAAAGAAGGCTTTAATTGTTGGTACTTCAAGTGTTTTTACTAGAAAATTGTAACAATGTATTTGTGATGTGCTCAAGGAATTCTTGCTTTGAAAATTTAAAAAGGAATTTGATTTTAGGTCTTTATCTGAAGCCATGTCTGTGGAAAAAATTGCTGCAATCAAAGCCAAAATTATGGCTAAGAAAAGATCTACTATCAAAACTGATCTAGATGATGACATCACTGCCCTCAAACAGAGGAGTTTTGTAGACGCCGAGGTAGATGTGACTCGAGATATTGTCAGCAGGGAGAGAGTGTGGAGGACACGAACAACGATTTTACAGAGCACGGGAAAGGTAATAGAGGTTACTCATTTCTTAGAGTGCCATGTCTGTGGTTAGTCTGTGATTGGTTATGGAATTGCTTAACATTTTTTATTAGAAGGAAGTTTGTAGTTTTCACTCTTCGAAAGAACAATAATAATACAGATTTCCAAGTGGTCATATTTGTCCTTGCATTCCTGAACGTGGCTGTCAGTCATTCAAGAAGTTGATAAAATCTGAATCAGAGCGCAAGCCTCTCCACATACCATTTGTAAATTAGAGTGACCCAGTTTTTTTTGTTGTTGTTGTTGTAGTTGTTGAAACCTCATGTCTTGGGCCGGCGCCGCAGCTCACTAGGCTAATTATCCTCCGTCTTGCGGCGCCGGCACACCGGGTTCTAGTCCCGGTCGGGGCGCCGGATTCTGTCCCGGTTGCCCCTCTTCCAGGCCAGCTCTCTGCTGTGGCCTGGGAGTGCAGTGGAGGATGGCCCAAGTGCTTGGGCCCTGCACCCCATGAGAGACCAGGAGAAGCACCTGGCTCCTGCCTTTGGATCAGTGCAGCGCGCTGGTCACAGCAAACCGGCTGCGAGGGTGAACCAACGGCAAAGGAAGACCTTTCTTTCTGTCTCTCTCTCTCTCACTGTCCACTCTGCCTGTCCAAAAAAAAAAAAGAGAGAAACCTCATAACCTCATGTCTGGAGGGTTTTATGGCAAGCTCTTTGGTCATCAGAGCTGATATCATGAATTTTTTCTACATAAAGTAGAGAATCAGTCAGCAGACATTTATTGAGTATATTTTATACTTTATTGTGGATGTAGGACTTTCTATTTTTTTGCTTCTTCACTATGGGAGCTATTTTGTTGTTTTTGCTCCAAGACTGTGGGGTTTTCCTCTCTCTCTTTGTCCGCTGCCTCTTTTCTTCCTTGGTTCCCTCCCACTTCCTCCCCTTTGATTTTTCCTTCCTCCTCCTTCCTTCCCTTTCACTATTACAAATAATGCTTTAAAAGACATTCTTACACATATATAACTTTGTTCAGTTATGTGACTAGTAAAGGATTAAAATGAATTTCTGGTTAAAGGAGATGTGCAGTTTAAGAAAATTTTTTTATTTGAAAGGCAGAGTTTTAGGGAGTGACACAGAGAGGCTGATTGATTGATCTCCAATCCCTGGTTTATTACCCAAATGGCCACAGCAGCCAGGGCTGTGCCAGGCCAAAGTCAGGAGCTTCATCCGGGTCTCCCATGTAGGCCACAGGGGCACAAACTCTTTCCCAGGTGCATTGACAGGGAGCCAGCTTGAAGTGGAGCAGCTGGAATTCACACCAGTGCTCATATGGGATGTTGCTGTTTCAGGCGGAGGCTTACCCCACTGCTCCACAGCACTGGCCCTGAGATGTACACTTCAGACCTTGAAAGATAACATGAATTTCTGCAAAGGAAACATTGATTCTGTCTCATGTGTATATTTTCATCAGTCTTTCCTGTTCTACACCTCAGTTTTCTGTTAAACGTTCATTCTCCTCTGATGTACGGTTGTTAAATGATCTAATTAAGAATATTTGAAGAATCATGGCAATTAGTGATGAGCTTCACTGTTCATCACTTCAGCATTCTTCTAGGCAGATTGATTTTGATTGTAGAATTTTGAGATTTTAGTCTGAAATTTACTCTGACATTGTAAGAATAAAGCTACTAGAGAAGAGTGTTTAAAAAATGATTTATTTTTGGAGGGAAGGGTAGCCCACATTGTAGCTTAGTAGGCTAAGCTGCAGCCTGGGATGGTGGCATGACGAGTGCTGGTTCAAGTCCCGGCTGTCCTGCATGTGATCCCAGCCCCCTGTTAATGTGTCTGGGAATGCAGTGGAAGAACACCCGAGTACTCAGAACTCCATACACACATGGGAAACCTGGATAAAGCTGTGCCTCCTGGCTTTGGCTTGGTCCAGTCCCAGCCATTTGGAGTCTGAACCAGTGGATGGAAGATTTCTCTAACTCTGCCTTTTAAATAAATAAATAAATAAATCTTTGAAAAAAAATTATATTTTCTGTTTTAATAAAATGATCAGTTACTCATATTATCACTGATACAGCTAAAAGTTGAATGATATTGTGACTGATTTGTATTGATCCATGAGTATTCACTATAATTATTGATATCTAAAGCAGATAGTAAAGAAATAAAACAGATTTTTTTACTTTTGTCTGAACATTGACTTTTCAACTGAGATGAATAATTTCCTTTGGGCTCTAGGTGGCAGGCTTATGCCATTTCTCAACTTAAGTATTCTCATTTAATGTTATTGGTACCACTGAATCTTTTAAAAAATAAGTTCATAATTTAATAATTGTTTGGTAGCTAGGTTTGTCTTTATGAGCATTATCATATTTTGATCACTTGTCCATGTTGCTCTTTATACTGGTTTCATCTAATAAATGTTAGAAATAGTCTTAGGTACCTACAGCTCAATAGATGAGACAGAGACCTTCCTTAATACCAGTTTCTGGGCCCTTTATTCTCTGAGCTTCAGGAACAAAAGACAGGTTCAAGCTTCCATGAAAAATATAAAAACTTACTTTTTTATGTAGTTAGCCAAATAAAGCAGCCTGATTTTATAATGCGCTTTAGAGAAAGCATTTATAAACTTGTATAATTTAGTACAAGTTTAGCACATTCTTAAGCTTGTATAAGTTAGTATATGTCTTAGACCGTTTTGTGCTGCTATAATAATAGCACAAACTGGGTAATTTATAATGAAGCAGATTTATTTGGCTCATAGTTCTGGAGGCTGGGAAGTCCAAGATCAAGTAAGAATCTAGTAAGATTCTTCTTGCTGTATCATAACATGGCAGATGATAGTATGTGGGTGAGAGAGAGGGGGAAGGGAGGCTTGAGGGAGGGGGGAGGGATTGTTAAGGGGACTGAGCTCTTTTTTTTTTTTTTAATTTATTTATTTTTTTATTTAAAGGCAGGGTTACAGAGAGGCACAGGCAGAGAGAGAGGCCTTCCATCCGCTGGTTCACTCCTAAATGGCCGAAATGGCCGGAGCTGAGCTGATGTGATCTGGAGGCAGGAGCCAGGTGCTTCTTCCAGGTCTCCCACACGGGTGCAGGGGCCCAAGGACTTGAGCCATCTTCTACTGCTTTCCCAGGCCAGAACAGAGAACTGGATCGGAGTGGAGTAGCCTGGACTTGGACTGGTTGCCCATATGGAATGCTGGCACTGCAGGCGCTGGCTTTTCTTGCTGCACCATAGCGCTGGCCCCCAAACTCATTCTCTTATCTGAACTCATATGTCATGATAATTAATCTGTTCAGTTCCAACTTAATCTGTTCACAAAGGCAGAGCATTCAGGACCTACTCAACTCTATTTAAAGGCCCTGCCTCTCAGCACTGTTAAATTTGTTTCCAAGTGAACCTTGGAGGGCACATTTATACCACTGTAATACATGCTCATTGTTGAAAAACCGATAAAAAGAGATGAGTCAAAGGATAAGACTTAACTATAATTCTTCCACACTAGAATAGCTAATAGCATTTTGATGGACTCTTCTGGAGTTTGTATCTCTCAGTACTTTATTTAAAGTAGTGAGAGTGAATCTCATATAATTTCATAATAGGACTAAGATTTTATTTGCATTTTCCACCATATTGATCTCTGTAATGATGGTGTGAAAGCAGTGGTTGGCAAAACTGCTGGTACAGTGGCATGCCTCAAGGTAGCGACTAAGCTCCAGCAGTAGTCATTGTGTGCTTCAGCCACTAGTAATGTCCTTAATGACCTTTAAAATTTATTAATTTTGTTAAATCTTAACCCTTGAATATGTCCTTTTAGCATTTTGTGCAATGAGATTGAAATGTAAAAAGCACTCTAGCCTTTGAGTATTAAAATATGGTGATTATCTCAATTAACAGCATATATGCCCTATTTGAGTTGTAAGCTGAATCAGCTGATTTTCTTTTTATGATTGTGTCTTTTTTTTTTTTTTAAATTTACTTATTTATTTATTTGTAAGGCAGAGTTACAGAGAGGCAGAGGCACTGAGAGAGAGGTGTTTTTCATCTGCTGGTTCACTCCCCACATGGCTGCAATGGCCTGGAGTTGTGCCAATCTAAAGCCAGCAGCTAGGAGCTTCTTAGAGGTCTCCCATGTGAATTTAGGGACCCAACGCCTTGGGCCATCTTCTACTGCTTTCCCAGGCCATAGTAGAGAGCTGGATCGGAAGTGGAGCAGCTGGGACTTGAACTGGTGCCCATATGGGATGCTGGCACTGCGGGGGCTGGCTTTACTCACTACACCACAGCACCAGCTGCATCAGCTGATTTTTACAGAAAACTTTTTATTTTATTTTATTTTTTTAAATTTTTTTATTTAGTAAATATAAATTTTCAAAGTACAGTTAATGGATTGCAATGGCTTCCCACCCCCCATAATTTCCCTCCCACTCACACCCTTCCCATCTCCCGCTCCCTCTCCCATTCCATTCACATCAAGATTCATTTTCAATTATCTTTATATACAGAAGATCAATTCAGTATATATTAAGTAAAGAATTCATCAGTTTGCACCCACACAGAAACACAAAGTGTAAAATACTGTTTCAGTACTAGTTATAGCATTACTTCACATTGGACAACACACTAAGGACAGATCCCACATGAGAAGTAAGTACACAGTGTTGTTGACTTAACAATTTGGCACTCTTGTTTATGGCATCAGTAATCTCCCTAGGCTCTAGTCATGAGTTGCCAAGGCTATGGAAGCCTTTAGAGTTCGCCGACTTGGATCTTATTCCGACAGGGTCATAGTCAAAGTGGAAGTTCTCTCCTATGTAGGTATTTGGCAGATTTTTTAAAAATGAATGAAATCAGTCTTCTTCAAGGAAAGCAATTGACAGTATTTGTTGTCAGTGATGCAGTGTCAGCTTTCATGAGAAAATTAGAATTTTGGGAGTTTATTGTAATCATAACTTTTTCTAATTGCTTTTTGTTTTAAAAATGTATTTATTTATTTGAAAGGGAGAGAGAGAAAAATACCTTCCATCTTATAGTTCACTCCCCATATGTCTTTTTTTTTTTGACAGGCAGAGTGGACAGTGAGAGAGAGATACAGAGAGAAAGGTCTTCCTTTGCCGTTGGTTCACCCTCCAATGGCCGCGCTGATCCAAAGGCAGGAGCCAGGTGCTTTTCCTGGTCTCCCATGGGGTGCAGGGCCCAAGCACTTGGGCCATCCTCCACTGCACTCCCTGGCCACAGCAGAGAGCTGGCCTGGAAGAGGGGCAACCGGGACAGAATCCGGCGCCCCAACTGGGACTAGAACCCGGTGTGCCGGCACCGCTAGGCGGAGGATTAGCCTGTTGAGCTGCGGCGCCGGCCCCCCATATGTCTTTAATATCTAGATCTGGGCAAGGCTGAACTTAGGAGCCAGGAACTCCATGCTGGTGTCTCACATGTGTGACGGGGGCTCCAGGGTTCGACTCGGCACACTGCCTTCCCAAGACCATTAGCAGAAAGCTAGGTTGGTAGCTCAGCAGCCAGGACTCATGTGGCATTTGTTTATAAGATGCTGGCATTTCAAGCAGTGGCTTAACCCCACTGCACCACTATGCCAGCCCCAAGTTTCTGGTTCTTAAAGCCTCTTTGGATGAGTCTCCCAAATGATGAAATGAAGAAATATAATTTGTTGATGTTGTGTAAGATAACATTAATATTTAGAAAATCTACCAAATAGATGATTGATATTATCCAAATAACCAGTGAATGCTGTTAGAAACCATACATGGGTAAAAAAATTACAAGCACAAGAAAACATCAGATCAATGGATTTTTAAGTAAAAATGTAAAATGTTTATGAATGTGGTTTCCACAGTATAGTAATTAAGAAACAGCCATTTTGATGTGATATCAAAGAAGTATATTCACGGTTGTCTAAAAAGCTGTTACAATTCTCCTCCCCTTACCAACTGTCTATGTGAAGCTATATTTTTTTTGTATTCTTTTTTTTTTTTTTTTTTTTTTTTTTTTTTTTTTTTTTGACAGAGTGGACAGTGAGAGAGAGAGAGAGAGAAAGGTCTTCCTTTTGCCGTTGGTTCACCCTCCAATGGCCGCCGCGGCCAGCGCACCACACTGATCCGAAGCCAGGAGCCAGGTGCTTCTCCTGGTCTCCTATGTGGGTGCAGGGCCCAAGGACTTGGGCCATCCTCCACTGCACTCCCTGGCCACAGCAGAGAGCTGGCCTGGAAGAGGGGCAACCGGGACAGAATCTGGCGCCCCGACCGGGACTAGAACCCGGTGTGCCGGCACCGCAAGGAGGAGGATTAGCCTATTGAGCCGCGGTCTTTGTATTCTTGGATCAGACAAATTAGTATAATAGATACCAGGTATGGAAACAATATGAGGACATAGTCATCTTCTAGTAAGTCAAGCATTATGGAAATCTGCAGAAATTTAAAAGTGCCATCCTTTGCTGTCACCATGTTTTATGCATTTTGGAAAAGAATCTTTCAAAAGATGTTACATGTAATCCCTTTTTCATATTTTTGTATTTTTAATATATGCTTCAATTTTTAATGTGACAACTTACACAAATGAAAGTTTTTTGGAGTCTAGTAATTTTCAACAGTATAGAGATCTGTGTTTGCTTCTCTAAATTATTTGTGCAGTGGTCACAGTTACAATTAAAGCTGCCTCTCACATTGTATGTACTCACTCATTTGTATAATGTTCATTTCGTTCTTAAAAACCAGTCGACTGCTAAGCACTGACTGGAGGTACGTTGATTGTGACTTTTTATCACAAAATAGACCATAAGTAAGCTGTACTTATGACTTGCATTTTAAGCTAGGCACCCAGCGAAGGCAGGTAATTTAGTTGAGTAAAGGGAAGAGAATGCTATGTAAAGAATAAAAACTAGTGAGGTGCGTGATGGGGTAAGGTGCAAAGAGTGGTTGAGCCAAGGAAACAGTGCTTAATTATCTAGAAGGACAAATCATGTTCCATTTCAGGTTCATTGGGTAAGGGACCTTGTGTTTGTTGAATAATATTATTCTCAAATGCTAGACAAGGTATTAGGCTTATGGTAACACATGCTCCTTGAAATGTTGAATGGTAGGCAGAATAAGAGATAGTAAGGGAGAAAAAGCTAAGAGTAGTCTCAGTGGGCCAGGCAAAACTATTGCATGAAGGAGTAGCTACCATACATCTTTTTTTTTCATTTTTTATTTTATTATTATTTTTTTGACAGAGTTAGACAGTGAGAGAGAGAGAGAGACACAGAGAAAGGTCTTCCTTCTGTTGGTTTAACCCCTAAATGGCTGCTATGGCCGGTGCGCTGCACCAATCCAGAGCCAGGAGCCAGGTGCTTCCTCCTGGTCTCCCAAGTGGGTGCAGGGCCCAAGCACTTGGGTCATCCACCACTGCCCTCCCAGGCCACAGCAGAGAGCTAGAGGGAAGAGGAACAACCAGGACAGAATCTGGCGCCCCAGCTGGGACTAGAACCTGGGGTACCAGCGCCGCAGGCGGAGGATTAGCCTAGTGAGCTCCGCTGGCCTAGCAGTAGTTAACCATAATTTAAAATAGTGAATGTTGCTAAGATTTGTTCATACAAACATTTATTTCTAAATACTGTCTTTGAAGAATACTCACTAATTTCTAACAGTATCTTAAAACTTTGACCATCACATGTACTCTGTAGCAATCTGAAATTAGCACTGCACTTTAGTATACCTAGAGAAGGATGTAATAGTTGATGTCCTTTAGAAGTAGGAACACTGCTGACACCAAATGTCATATTTTTATTTTACTTAAATGTAAACTTGTTTCCTGGTTGTGTATTTGAATAGATATAGAATAAATTTGTAGCCAGTTATGTGCTTTAAATAGAAGGAAAATAATACAGTTAGTAATACTATGTTTATAATAATCAGTCTCTGAGTCAGTTTCTTGATGATAGTTGGATTTTTACTTAAATGTCCTGTAGTGTTGTCTTGTTACGATATAGATAGGAAAAAAATTAAAACTTAGTTGTATCTATTAAATAAGCATACTGGTTATGTAGAGTTTATTTCAAATGGGCTTAATTAAATTCATTTATATTTCAGAATTTTTCCAAGAATATTTTTGCAATTCTTCAGTCTGTAAAAGCCAGAGAAGAAGGGCGTGCACCTGAACAGCGACCAGCCCCAAATGCGGCACCTGTGGTAAGAATCTTTTACTGACTATATAGTAATTTTAAGGAATTTCAGTGTTGTGGTTTTGAAGATGTCGTTTTTTTAAGATTTGTGTTTTATTTGTTTGAAGGACAGAGTTATAGAGAGAGACTCAAGTCTGGGAGAGAGATCTTCCATCCACTGGTTCACTCCCCAAATGGCCACAGTGGCCATGGCTGGGCCAAGCTAAACCTAGGAACCTGGAACTCCATCCAGTCTCTCATATGGGTAGCAGGGGCCCAAATATTTTGCTCCACTGTATGTTGTCTTCCCAGGTTGTTAGCAGGGAGCTGGATCAGAAGTGCAGCAGCCAGGACCCTAATTGGTGCCCATATGGTATGCTGGTGTTTTGGGCAGTAGCTTAACCAGCTGTGCCATAATGCTAGCCCCTTTGAAAACATCTTAAAAGCTTTAAAATCAGTGGGCTCTAAACTTTTTGCAACTTCAGTGTGCTTGAAAGATGTGAGGACCCTCCCAGGACTACAAGTTAAGTATTACAGTGGTAATCATTAGCTCGAGACATACCCACCTGAGAGTCTGAAAGGAATTATGTAGGAAAAGCCCTCTGAGTAGTTATTTTAGGTAAACCATAGCTGGCCTGCTCACTGTTGGTTGTAACATAAGGACTGTTAAAAGTAAATACCCTCAAAAAAGAAAAAAAGTAAATACCCTGAGCCTGCACTGTATCAGAGTAGGCTAAGCCTCAGCTCGTGGCTTCAGCTTCCCATATAGGTGCTGGTTCATATTCTGGCTGCCGTGGCCTGGGGAGGCAGTAGAGGATGGCGTGGGCCCCTGCTCCTGTTTGGGAGATCTAGAAGAAGCTCCTGGCTCCAGGCTTTGGATCAGTAGAGCTCCAGCTGTTTCAGCCATCTGGGGAGTGAACCAATGGTTGCATGACCTTTTTCTCTGTCTTTCCCTCTCTCTGTCATAACTCTACCTCTCAAATAAATAAATAAAATATTCAAAAAGAAAGGTAAGTACCCTGCCCCACTGTCTAGCATGGGGCTGTTTTTTTTTTTGTTTTGGTGGTGTGTTGTGATTTTATCTTTTTTGTTTTTTGACAGGCAGAGTGGACACTGAGAGAGACAGACAGAGAGAAAGGTCTTCCTTTTGCCGTTGGTTCACCCTCCAATGGCCGCCGCGGCCGGCGCACCGCGCTGATGCGATGGCAGGAGCCAGGAGCCAGGTGCTTTTCCTGGTCTCCCATGGGGTGCAGGGCCCAAGCACCTGGGCCATCCTCCACTGCACTCCCGGGCCACAGCAGAGAGCTGGCTTGGAAGAGGGGCAACCGGGACAGAATCCGGCGCCCCGACCGGGACTAGAACCCGGTGTGCCTGCGCTGCTAGGCGGAGGATTAGCCTAGTGAGCCGCGGCGCCGGCTTGGGGCTGTTTTTGACCGCTCTCTGTGACATCCTTTTTTTTTTTTCTTTTCTTTTTTTTTTTTTTTTGGACAGGCAGAGTTAGAGAGAGAGAGAGACAAAGAGAAGGGTCTTCCTTTTTCCATTGGTTCATCCCCCAAGTGGCCACTACATCCGGCATGCTGTGCCGATCCGAAGCCAGGAGCCAGGTGCTTCCTCCTGGTCTCCCATGTGGGTGCAGGGCCCAAGGACCTGGGCCATCCTCCACAGCCTTCCTGGGCCACAGCAGAGAGCTGGACTGGAAGAGGAACAACTGGAACAGAATCTGTTGCCCCAACCGGGACTAAAACCTGGGGTGCCGGCGTCACAGGCAGAGGACTAGTCTAGTGAGCTGCGACGCCGTCCTGTGACATCTTTATGGATGTATTTCTTCTGATCACCTGCCACGCAGCCATTTCCCTGTGTGTCAGTTTTCGAGCTTGAGAGCTGACCACCTCCTCTTTGAAGTGTCACTGTGGGCTCTCCCCAAGTAAATTGCCTTGCAGTTACTGTATTTAAATTCAGCATACTTTCAGGTTTTACTGAAAATTCTTCTAGTTCTTTTTATATGCTTCAACAAAGGAAGAAATATAAATAAAATTATTCCTATTTTATGTAATTTTAAAAATGAATTGGAGGCCGGAGCCGTGGCTCAATAGGCTAATCCTCCACCTGCGGCGCCGGCACCCTGGGTTCTAGTCCCAGTTGGGGCGCCGGATTCTGTCCTGGTTGCACCTCTTCCAGTCCAGCTCCTGCTGTGGCCTGGGAATGCAGTGGAGGATGGTCCAAGTGCTTGGGCCCTGCACCCACATGGGAGACCAGGAGGAAGCACCTGGCTCCTTTCTTCGGATCAGCACAGCGCTGGCCATGGCAGCCATTAGGGGAGTGAACCAACGGAAGGAAGACCTTTCTCTCTGTCTCTCTCTCACTGTCTATAACTCTCTCTCTGTCTTTCTCTCTCACTGTCTAATTCTGCCTGTCAAAAGAAAAATAAATTTGATAAGAGTACTAGTATAACTAGTTTAATGATATTTGACTTTCAGAGTAGTAGAGGGAGGAGAGGGAGAGGGGAGAGAAGGAACGAGTCTTCCATCTGCTGGTTCACTGCCAGATGGCTGTATTACCCAGCGCTGGGCCAGGGCAAAACCATGAGCCAAGAGCTTCATCCAGGTCTCCAACGTGGGTGGGATGGGCTTGAGTACTTGGGCCATCTTTCTTTTGTTTTTTGTTTTAGAAGATTTTTTAAAATTTACTTCAAAGAGTTACAAAGAGAGAAGGGGAGACACAGAGAAATCTTTATGCTAATTCATTTCCCAGCTGAATGCAATGGCGAGCACTGGGCCAGGCTGAAGCCAAGAACCTGGAGCTTTATCCAGGTCTCCAACATTAGTAGTAGGGGCACAGACACTTTTTATAGTTCATTAGCAGGTAGCTGGAATGGAAGTGGTGTAGGCGGACACGAACCAAGTGGGATGCTGGCATTGCAGCTGGCAGCGTTACCTGCTCTGCCACAACACTGTTCCCTAGAGCCAGGAATTTAATCTGGGTCTCTCATGTGGTTCTAGAGGTCCCAAGTACCTGAGTATCATCTGCTACCTGCCAAGATGCACTTTAGCAGGAAACTATAATCGGAAGTGGAGCCAGTAGTACTTAAATCCAGACGCAGGGATACTATTTAAATATGCATCTTTATGTTACAGGTTGTGCGTTTTGGGTAAAACATTTGTGAATTAAGTTATGTCAGGCTAGTGTGGTTCAGCGGGTTAAGCTGCTGCCTGCAATGCTGGCATCTCTTAGGAGAACTGGTTTGAGTCCTGGTTGCTCTTCTTCTGATCCACCTCCTTGCTGATGCACCTGGGACAGCAGGAGCAGATGACCCAAGTACTTGGGACCCTGCTACCAACGTGGGAAACCCAGGTAGACTTCCAGGCTCCTGGCTTCAGCCTGGCCCAACCCTGGTTGTAGTCATTTGGGTGGTGAACCAGCTGATGAATATCTCTTTCTTTCTCTCTTTCTCTCTCTGTATTTCTGCCTTTCAAATAAAATAAATCTTTCAAAAAATTTTGTGTTATTAGAGTAATAGCTTTTACCAAGTATTTTACAAAAATAACTTATTACTTCAGCTTTATCCTGTACATTTATAATGGGCTTATTGTCATGGTTGTCTTATTTCATTTAATAAGGAATGGCAATTTGGCAGAAAATTCAATTAAAAGACTTTAAATGTCCGTTCAGTAACCCTTGGATTAAAATGTTTTTTCTTTGTCAGAAAAGTCATAACTGGAGGGACAGTGTTATTCATAAAGACATTTAGGTAATCAGAATGAAATTACTTTACTCATTTTATCTCTGCTGTTTCTAAGACTTTCGCTTTTTGCCTCAGTGTAAGTGTTCTTGGCATTCCTTCCCATTGTCCTCGATAGGGATGGTAATTTTCTAGTCTCAAAAATAGACATAAAAGAGCTAGTAGTCTGTTCCCTACTTTCTTACTGGCTGTTGTAAGAAAAAGAACTTAGAAGAAAATATCATTATTATTGTTTTAATTATGAGTACTAAATAGCATATGAGAATATTAACATGTGACTCATGACTTATCTTTCTCAAGGATCCCACGTTGCGTACGAAACAGCCTATCCCGGCTGCCTACAACAGATACGACCAGGAGAGATTCAAAGGAAAAGAAGGCAAGTTGCTTAATGTTTGTCTTTTGCTTCCTGTCGTTGTGCTGAACTTAAGAGGCAGTGTAGGGGCCGGCGCTGTGGCGCATAGGGTTAAAACCCTGGCCTGAAGCGTCAGCATCCCATATGGGTGCCGGTTTTAGTCCCAGCTGCTCCTCTTCCGATCCAGCTCCCTGCTATGGCCTGGGAAAGCGGTGGCAGATGGCCCAAGTCCATGGGCCCCTGCACCTGTGTGGGAGACCCAGAAGAGGCTCCTGGCTCCTGGCTTCGGATGTGCCCAGCTCCGGCCGTTGGGGCCATCTGGGGAGTGAACCAGCAGATGGAAGACCTCTCTCTTTCTGTAACTCTGTCTTAAAAAAAAAAGGACAGTGTAGTATAGCGCGATGTTTAAGGCAAGGATTGGCAAAATGACATCTGCTGGCCAAATTTTTGTAGCTTATTGGAACACAGCCACACCCATTCATTTGTGTGTTATCTGTGGCTTTTATAACTCCATGACAGCAGTCTTGAGTTGTTTTTGTAGAGGCTGTGTAGTCTGCAAAGCCTGGAAATAATATCTGGCTCTTGACAGAAAAAATTGAGCAACTCTTATTTAATGGCATGGATTCTGACCCACCAAGTTTGTGTCACAATTGCTTTTTGTGTGACTTTTAATGTTATTTTACTGCATTCTATCTTGGTCTCCTTATGTGTTTAACTACAGTATTAACTTCTTAATAGTGACAGTTTTTATCTCTTAGGGTTATTGTGGGAAGTAGTTATTAATTCCCTAGGATTGTGTTTATTATGTATCCGTAAATGTTTGCTGTTATTAATAGTAGTTGTGTTTCTTAAGAATTTATTTTAAGGGGTCAGCATTACAATAGGATAGCAGGTGTAACTGCAGCCTGTAATGCTGGCATCCCGTATGGGTGCTGGCTATGTCCTGGCTGCTCCATTTCTGATTCAGCTCCTTGCTAATGGCATGGGAAAGGCAGCGGAAGATGGCTCAAGTGCTTGGGCCCCTGCCACTACGTGGGAGACCTAAATGAAGCTCTTGGCTTCAGCCTAACTCAGCCCAGGTTGTTGCAGCCACCTGGAGAGTAAACCAGCAGATGGAAGATCTCTGTCTCTGTCTTTGTCTCTCTCTATGCAACTCTAAAATTCAAATAAACAAATCTTTTTAAAAAGAATTTATTTAGAATGGGGATTTATATCAAATTATTTTCCCCAAATTATAAATTTATACATTGAAAACTTGGGAAGCACAGGCATGTAGAATCATTGTGGGAGGTTTTTTTCTGTGAAAGTCTGGATGGTATTTTGACTAATATAGTAGTGACCATTTCTGCATTATTGAGGTGGTTAGTAAGATAGGACCAATGTCCATGCTTGGAAGCTTCAATCATCTTGAATTGATTTATGAAAATAGAAGCAGCTAAAGGTTTATCATTTGTGATTTTTTTCTGTATAGTTGGAAATCTCCATTCTTTGAAGAATGTATTGTTTTGATGTAATCAGTTTTGTGTGCTTATTTTGTTTAGTGGATGAAAGCACACACTAAATACATACCATAGGAAGATGGTGATCTGTTCTTCACTGTAGTGTTTTCTTTTGGGATGAATTATGTAACGTGGGGATTAATAAATTATAGGTTTCAAACAATATCAGACCCTAGAGGCAAAATCTGATAGTCCTCGTTTGTGTACATACATCATTTATGCTGTTTTTATACTGGAACTGTAGAATTCAGTAGTTGTGATGGGGACTGGCCTGCAATGTATAAAACATTTGTTATGACTCATTACAGAAGGTTATCCTGGAATTCTGTTCTGCGACTCCCATCGTTATTTACAGTATTATTTTCTACAAAGTAACCCATGCCTTATGATTGTAATTTTGGAACACAATTTTTGTTTTTTTATAATATTGGGACTTCTCTTTGTATCATACTTTGATGATGCTGTCATTGAGAATTAATAATAAAAAATCTGAGAATTAGAAGTATGTAATTGGTTTTTGATAAGCACCTTCTACACAGGAGAATCGTTGTTGTATATTGCATGTTTTTGAGACTAGAGTCTGTTTTAAAGTTTTTTGGCTGAAGACTTATTTATTTGAAAGGGAAAGACAGAGTGATTGTCCATCTTTTCATTCCCCAAATGGCCCCAACAACTGGAACCAGATCAGTTGAAACTCTGGGAATTCCCTCTTCATCTTCCCCATGGGTGGCACTGGCTCTCTTTTGTTCCCTTCCCAGGCATGTCATACAGGAAGCTAGATTGGAAGTGGGGCAGCTGGGACTTGAACCGGTGCTTAGATATGGGATGCTTGCCTGGTGCACCACAACTCGGGCATTTGTTTCAAAGTTTTATTTTCTGAAATATGTAATTTAACTTCATTTATATGTGTATATGTACATGTAAAATAGATTGAAGACTTTGTTACCTTGTTGAACTGTCATAGATTATTACTGTACATTTCTTATTGATTATAAAAGTAGGTAAAGTCTAAATAACTCTTTTCTTTACAGAAACGGAAGGCTTCAAAATTGACACTATGGGCACATACCATGGTATGACGCTGAAATCTGTAACGGTAAGTTGTTTTCACTGGCAGAGGGTGCTTTGTTTGAGGTTTTTTTATGTGAGTGTGGCAGACGGTGAAGAAAACTTTTGCTTTGTAACATTTTCATATTTCCAACATTTATCTTCAGTGACCCATTGTGCTGATAGGTCAGTGTGGTGTATTACTTGATTGTTTCTTCGTTTTTTTACCCAAACTGAGTTGAGTATGTATAAATACAAGCTTTTTGGATTATCTTTCCAAGGAGGGTGATGCTACCTGGTTAGAGTATTTAAAGCCATTAAGGCGTTACAAGGTGATGTTGGGGAAGTTCTTTGTTATATAATAGCGTATGTTCCTTTCTCTCTCTCTCTCTCTCTCTCACTGTCCACTCTGCCTGTCGAGAAAAAAAAAAATGTGTTTCTGTAAAAAGATGCATTGCATTGGCTGATTTGTGATGCATACAAAGTATGTATATGTCTGTAAGTCAGTGGTTCACTTTTAGTATACTTCTTTATTTTTTTAACTCTCTAGAAATGATTACTTTTAGATGTTCTGTCCAAGCTATATTTAACACCTTTAATATTTAGTTGGTGAAAGAACTTCGTAATGTAGTTGACTTACTCAGTTACCACACTTTGCATGTTATTTTCTAGAGCATTGTACATTCTGTGCTTTAAAATTGTGTGTTTTAGTGTGTCTGTACACTTCAAACACTAATACCAAATTTTTGTTTTTATGACTCATTAGATTTTTATAGGCCCTGCATGATATGGAATCATAATATATTTGCTGTGATCTCTCAGTGTTACAATATGTCTTTATATGTACTTGGGGGCTGGCGCCGTGGCTCACTAGGCTAATCCTCTGCCTGTGGCGCCGGCACCCCGGGTTCTAGTCCTGGTTGGGGCACCCGTTCTGTCCCGGTTGCTCCTCTTCCAGCCCAGCTCTCTGCTGTGGCCCGGGAAGGCAGTGGAGGATGGCCCAAGTGCTTGGGCCCTGTACCTGCATGGGAGACCAGGAGGAAGCACCTGGCTTCTGGCTTCGGATTGGCGCACGCGCTGGCCGCAATGCTCTGGCTGTAGCGGCCACTTGGGGAGTGAATCAACGAAAAAAGGAAGACCTTTCTCTCTGTCTCTCTCTCTCTCTCTCACTGTCTAACTCTGCCAGTCAAAAAAAAAAAAAAAATGTACTTGGAATTTGCCATGGTTTACTGGGTCATTTGCAAAAGCAGATAGTAGATACAGGTAGAGAATATGATTAAACAACTCAAATTTTTGTTTTCTTTATGGACTTCAGTTTGGGATTAGGAATTACATATTTTGTTAATACACTTGTTTTTAAATTGCCATCTGATTTGTTATTGTATTACTGAAAATAGATAAATTCATGCAGTGGGTACTTACTGAGCACTTGAGTCAGACCCTGTTTCAGTTGCTGGAATGTAGCTATGAAGAAGACAGTTGAAGCTTCAAGCTTAGAGAGAGCCCTGTGAGGCAAGGCAGGGATCTAGAATTGGGCCCAGAAGAGCAACAGTAGGAATGCCAGTTCTCCAGAATGAATGAGAGGAAAATGCTGAGAGATTGAATATACTCATTTTACACCAACTTCCTGATTGTTCGTAACTTCAAAATATAATTAATGGCTGTAAGACTGAATTTGAATTTTTGTGTAATTGAGTTGTTGACATTTTCTCGGATCATGGCTTGCCTACTGGTTGTTCTGCAAGTGAATGACTGGAGGTGCACAATTTTTAGCCTTAGGTAATCATCAGAGTAAGTTTTTGTTATCGGTATCAAGTTGTTTTTATTTTCTTTATACCTATAACTCTGAAATGATGAGAAATTTAGTATCTTAGCTGAGCTTCTGTGCGCATAGTACATTCAGTAATAGTTTTTACAGTGAAATTTTTTAAAAAGGTTTATTTAATACTTGAAAGTCAGAGTTACACAAAGAGAGAAGGAGAGAGAGAGAGAGAAAGGTCTTTGATCCGCTGGTTTACTCCCCAATTAGCCGCAATGGCTGGAGCTGCACCAGTCTGAAGCCAGGAGCCAGGAGCTTCCTCTGGGTCCCCATGTAGATGCAGGGACCCAAGGATTTGGGCCATCTTCTGCTGCTTTCCCAGGGCATGGCAGAGAGCTGGATCAGAAGTGGAGCAGGTGGGACTCGAACTGGTGCCCTATATGGGCTGCCTTCACTGCAGGTGGCAGCATTACTACTTTCCACCGTGCCGGCCCCTACAGTGGTATTTTTTTCCTGAGCACTTTTTTTTAAAGTCCAGGGATAGCTTTTAAATTGAACAGTATAAGGTTCTGCTTTCTCATTACAGACTTCATTTCTAAATATCTTTAAAGGTGGATTTAAACTGCATGTGATCACAAAGAAGCGCTGTGTAGAAATGCAACAGCGAGACTAACAATGGTTTAATTGGTCATCATTTTAATACTCATTTTAAGTCTGTGTGGTGCTTGTTACCTGAAGCATTTAGAAGTTGTTGGAAAAAAAGTCATAGTGAAATAGTTGTTTCTTTCAGTTATATCTCAAATTTATGCTTCCAATTTAATGTGTTTTTAATCCTTGTTTTCTGTTTTGGTATTATTACCTGTTTATAAACTTGTCAACTGCACCAGTTTTCTACCTTAATTTTCTAGCTTCTTATAATAACCACCTAGACATTCAGAGCTGTTGAATGAAACTATGTGTTCAAAGGCTTTGCTCTTTAGTGTTACTTCCTCTAACTTATTGTAGTTTATTTTTGGTGTCAGTGTTCTTCAGGGTTTTGCTAGGCCCACTTGGCAGGTAGATGCAGTTACTGAAATTAGGATCATTCTGCATTAGGATTATTAATGTTAAATTCAAAATCAGAGTTCTGTTAGATGCAAGTTCAACTTGTGCAGATGGTATGACCATTTTTATACAAATATATTTTCATTTTGTATGTTATGAAGAAAGGAGTATATATTTTGTAAGAATTACAAGTTGATGAAATTTGTTACTGAAATAAGGCATGAACAGGGTGCTTTGGTAATAGAAGGGCACTTCAAAAGGTCCTGGAAAGAATTGAAAGATAAGTTTATGGCCAGGGCCGCAGCTCACTAGGCTAATCCTCCGCCTGCGGCACCGGCACACCAGGTTCCAGTCCCGGTAGGGGTGCCGGATTCTGTCCCGGTTGCCCCTCTTCCAGGCCAGCTCTCTGCTGTGGCCTGGGAGTGCAGTGGAGGATGGCCCAGGTGCTTGGGCCCTGCACCCCAAGGGAGACCAGGAGAAGCACCTGGCTCCTGCCATCGGATCAGCGCGGTGCACCGGCCGCAGTGCGCCAGCCGCGGTGGCCATTGGAGGATGAACCAAAGGCAAAGGAAAACCTTTCTCTCTGTCTCTCTCTCACTGTCCACTCTGCCTGTCAAAAAAAAAAAAAAAAAAAGATAAGTTTAGGGGCCGGTGCTGTAATGTAATGCGTAAAGCCATTGCCTGCAGTGCTGGCATCCCATATAGGTGCTGGTTGAAGACCCGGCTGCTACACTTCCTATCCAGCTCTCTTCCATGGCCTGGGAAAGCAGTGAAAGATGGCCCTGCACCTGCATGGGAGACTTGGAGGAAGCTCCTTTCTCCTGGCTTCAGATCGGCACAGCTTCAGAGTCGAAGACCTCTCTCTTACTCTCTGTCTCTCTATCTCTGTCTCTCTCTCTGCCTCTCTGTAACTCTACCTTTCAAATAAGTAAGTAAACCTTTTTTTTTTTGGTGGGTGTGTTTTTTTTTTTTTGACAGGCAGAGTGGACAGTGAGAGAGACAGGTCTTCCTTTGCTGTTGGTTCACCCTCCAATGGCTGGCGTGCTGCGGCCGGCGCACTGCACTGATTCGAAGCCAGGAGCCAGGTGCTTCTCCTGGTCTCCCATGGGGTGCAGGGCCCAAGCACTTGGGCCATCCTCCACTGCACTCCCAGGCCACAGCAGAGAGCTGGCCTGGAAGAGGGGCAACCGGGACAGAATCCGGCGCCCTGACCGGGACTAGAACCCGGTGTGCCGGCGCCGCAAGGTGGAGGATTAGCCTAGTGAGTCACAGCACCTGCCAATAAACCTTTTTTTTTTTTTTAATAATTTATTTTGGTGTAAAAAATATTGAAGTTCATACATACATAGTTTTTCCATAATACACACTTTTCATGACTTTTTTGCACCAGAATAAATTTATCTTTTAATTCCATTTTCCATGAACCTTTTGAAGAACCCTGATGTTCATAAAAATAATAATTTAATAATTTATTGAAATGTATTATAGGAACAGAAATCCAGGTATCTTTAAAGGTTTTGGAATTACATCGTTGGGTCTCTGGTTTAAGTAGGCCATGAAATATATTTCACAGTAAAGGTTTCAGAGGCACAAGCCATGAAATTGTTAAATTGCTAGAGAGCTTTTCTGAGTTGAGAGGATTTCCTGAAAAATGTTACTTGGGTTCTATAATGTTTTAAGAACACTAAGCAGATTTTGTGGTTCAGAATCTTGGTTCTTAGTAGTAGGTAAAGACAAAGGTATGCACTCTTTCCCAAGGCTGTTTCCCCCAAGAGTTTGCAACTCCCTGTTTCCTGTTGGTAATACTTTTGGGAAGAACTAGTGTTGAATAGAATCAGTTTAATGAAAGCTATTTTAAGATTATAGTTAGAATAAGAAAATGATTCAGTTGAGGAATGCCAGAGTATATCTGTTTGGGTTCCCTTTTTGAAGGAGTCATCTTAGACAAAGACAGTGTCACTTGAAATTGCTTTTCGTTATACAGTAAATAAGAAGAGATGGTGAAGACCTATTTTTGTTATCGGGAAGTAGCAAAGAACCTGTCTGCTTAGGACAGTTCCAGTGGGAAGGATGTAAGCTGTGATTTACAGTCCACTGTTGTTATTTCTGCGGATTTGGTAGTTGTATTGTGAAACAAGCCATTTTAAGCTGTCTAGCTACTCCTGTTCAGGTGGAAAGGTTACAAACTCGAAATCCCTTGTTTTCCCAAGGTTTGTACTGAACACTGTTGATTACGTTACTGTGTT